GCCTCCAGAGTAGCTGGGATTACAGGTGCATGCCATCATGCCCAGCTAATTTTTGTATTTTTTTTTTTTTTTATTTTGTAGAGATGGGGTTTCACCATGTTGGCCAGGCTGGTCTCGAACTCCTGACCTCAGGTGATCCACCCGCCTTGGCCTCCCAAAGTGCTGGGATTACAGGCATGAGCAACTGCACCTGGCCTAACTTTTGTATTTTAAGAGACAGGGTTTTGCTTTGTTGGCCAAGCTGGGGTTTTTTTGTATTTTTAATAGAGGTGGGGTTTCGCCATGTTGGCCAGGCTGGTCTTGAACTCCTGACCTCAGATGATCTGCTTGGCTCAGCTTCCCAAAGTGCTGGGATTACAGGTGTGAGCCACCGTGCCTGGCCCCATATATCTTTGATTAGGGCTAGAATGGTATATATTTTTTCATACCTTTATATTTAATGTACCAGTGTCTTTCTACTTAAAATAGTTTTCTTGAGAGAATAAAAAAATAGTTTTCTTGCACACAGCGATGGGTCTTAGTTTTTTTTTTTTTTTTTTTTGAAATGGAGTCTCACTCTGTCACCCAGGCTGGAGAGTACAGTGGCACAATCTTGGCTCACTACAATCTCTGCCTACCAGTTCAAGTAATTCTCCTGCCTCAGCCTCTTGAGAAGCTGGTATTACAGGCACGTGCCACCACACTTGGCTAGCTTTTGTATTTTTAGTAGAGATGGGGTTTCACCATGTTGATCAGGCTGGTCTCAAACTCCTGACTTTATGATCTGCCTGTCTCCGCCTCCCAAAGTGCTGGGATTACAGGTGTGAGCCACTGTGCCTGGCCAGGTCTTGTTTTTTTTTTTTTTCATTCTACTCTGTCAGTATCTGTCTTCTTGTATATTCATATAATGTACATTTAAAGTGGCTATTGATGTACTTGGATTCATATGTACATATATAATTGTTTTATATGTGTCATACTTGTTGGGTTTTTTTCTACTTCCTTTCTTTTTCCACCTCATTTTATTTTAACTGAGCATTCTATATGATTTCGTTTTCTTCTAATAGTATGGGAAGTCTACTTATTTCTCTCTCTCCCCTCCCCTCGCCTCCCCCCCCCCATTTTTTTTGAGACAGAGTCTCGCTCTGTTGCTCAGGCTGGAGTGCAGTGGCACGATGTTGGCTCACTGCAACCTCTACCCCCCCAGGTTCAAGCAGTTCTTCTGTTTCAGCTTCCAGAGTAGCTGGGGTCCCTCTCTCCTCCCTTCCTCCCTTCCTCCTTTCTTTTCTTTTCTTTGTACAAGGTCTTGCTCTATCACCTATAATAGAGTGCAATGGAGCAATCATAGCTAACTGTAATGTCCAAATCCTGGGCTCAAGAGATCTTCCATACTTGCTCTTCTGAGTAACTGGGACTACAGGTGCAGGCCAGCACACCAGGCTAGTTTGTTTTTTTTTTTTTTTTTTTTTTTACAGAGCTTTGTTTTTTTTTTTTTTTTTTTTTTTTTAGACAGAGCCTTGCTCTGTCTCCAGGCTGGAGTGCAGTGGTGCAGTCTCCACTCACTGCAACCTCTGCCTCCTGGGTTCAAGTGATTCTCCTGCCTCAGCCTCCTGAGTAGCTGGGACTACAGGCTGGTGTCACCCAGCTAATTTTTGTATTTTTAGTAGAGATGGGGTTTTACCATGTTGGCCAGGATGGTCTTGATCTCTTGACCTTGTGATCCTCCCACCTCGGCCTCTCAAAGTGCTGGGGTTACAGGTGTGAGTCACTGCACCCGGCCTTTTTTTCACATTTTGTACAGAGTCTCATTGTGTTGCTGAATGTGGACCCAAACTCTTGAGCTTAAGCAATCCTTCTGTCTTACATCTCAGAGTGTTGGCATTACATGAGGCACTGTGATAGGCTGTTGTTTCTTAAATTTTATTATTGAATTCCCTAGCATTTGGAGTAAACCATTCACAACAAATGAACCTTCAGTTTTAAATAACACTGTACTGGCTAATGGAGTCATGCTAGTATAACACAGTGTTCAGAATTCCTCCTTCCCGCCCAGTTTAACATCACTGTCATCCATTTGCCCTATTATAAACTATAACCACTCAGTACATTGTTGATGTTATTTTTTGAACAAACTTTTATGATACCCAATAGGAATAAGAAAAGGAAATAATTTTTGTGCCTTCATTGACTTCTTTTCTTTTTTTGATACAGAGCCTGGCTTGCCCAGGCTGAAGTACAGTGGCGCGATCTTGGCTCACTGCAACCTCTGCCTCCCAGGTTCAAGCAGTTCTCTGCCTCAGCCTCCCAAGTACCTGGGACTACAGGCACATGCCACCATACCCAGGTAATTTTTTGTATTTTTAGTAGAAATGGGATTTCACCATCTTGGCCAGGCTGGTCTTGAAGTCCTGATCTTGTGATCCATCTGCCTCAGCCTCCCAGAGTGCTGGGATTACAGGTGTGAAGCACCACACTGTCCAACATCTTTGTTCTTTAGTGTGTGTTCATCCAGTGTTCTGACAGAGATTTCCTGAATGCTAGAAGCTAGTAAAAAGAGATAAAGCACACAAAAGCCCGACCTCTTCTAGTCTTTGTGGATGGCTCTGTCCTGGGGCATTCCTTGAACACTAAGCCAGGCTGTTTAATACTCTACTTTAGCCTTTACGTTCTGCTTAACTAAACCTACAGATCAGCTAGAACTGAAAATGAGGGTTTCTTCTCAGGTATCTTTTGTGAAAATGTATTCTTTACTGTGCATGCATGGGGCTTTCTCAATTCCCCAGAATACCTGGGTGCTTTTGAGTATTCTAGTATCTGGAGGATATTTTCTCTTCAGCTCTTTTTCCCCATGACTTAGTTGATCTACTGTATGTCTTAATCATAGTCTGTTCTTCCAGTTGGCTGGAGGCTTTTTGTGTATTTTGCAACATTTTCATGCAGTTCTTGCCAAGTTTGACCCTGATTGTGTTATATTGTAGCTGGAATCGAAAAGAGAGCCTTGGCTGGGTGTGGTGGCTCACACCTGTAATCCTAGTATTTTGGGAGGCTAAGGCAGATTACTTGAGGTCAGGAGTTTGAGACCAGCCTGGCCAACATGGTGAAACCACGTCTCTAGTAAAAATACAAAAATTGCCCAGATGTGGTGGAGCACACCTGTACTTCCAGCTACTCGGGAGGCTGAGGCAGGAGAATTGCTTGAACCCAGGAGGCAGAGGTTGCAGTAAGCCAAGGTCACACAACTACACTCCAGTCTGGGTGACAGAGCGAGACTCCGTCTCAAAAAAAAAGAAAAGAGAGCCTTATTTCAGACCATTGGATAGTCCTTATACAGATTGGAAAATACAGAGGCAATAATTTTCAAATAAAATCTGATCTGCTGTCTCTAGAATCAGTGTCCAGGGTTCTATACCGGGAACTTGGGCTGCTGTGTTGAAGACTGGCATTGATAGGGGGAGGGATTGGGCCAAGAACAAATAAAAATTCCACAAGACTTTTCTACAAGTTTTCATTTTCTTTATATATATGTTTATCTCTCTGTTAATAGTATGGGGTGCCAAATATTACACTTCCAAAATCCTTTTCTGTCTTTGAAAAGCTGCACTTTCTTGGTGAGAAGGTTTCCAGCATTTTTTTTTAGATATTGTGAGTTCTATTAGATTTGGTAATGTAATTTTTGTTGACTACTAAAAGATCTGTTTTAGGTATTTAGGAAGTATTATAAATATTCATGAGAGATGACGTTGAGTTCTTCCTAAGAACATGTACAGTATTTCCCCTTCTTTCCTTCTCTTTTGGCATTACTCAAAAAAATGTTCAAATCTTTTTCATTGAGATGGTGAAATATCTTTTGTTAGTTTTTTGTCATACTTCACTACATTTGATTTAGGGGAAACTAGCTGCCAGCTTCCAAATATTCTCTGTAAGAGGTAGGATGGGCTGAATCCCCCAAAGAACAAGTTGCAACAAAATATGTGAAATTTTATCTACTCAGAAAGTTCATTATAGAGCCAATGCCCAGAGTGTTTCTTTGTAGCAATCTTAGCCTGTTTCTTGTTATTCATAATAGAATTACTGAACCTGGGTAATTTATAAGAAACAGTATTTAGTTTTTACATTTCTGGAGGCTGGGAAGTCCAGGATTAAGGGTGGACATCTGGTGAGAACCTTCTTGCTGGTGGGAACTCGGCAGAGTCCCTAGGTGACATAGAGTATCACATGGTGAGGGAGTGGAGTATCTAGCTCAGATGTCTTTCTCTAGAAGGACATGAGTCCTACTCCTGAGATAGCTCATTTATTCACCCATTATGGATTAATCTATTCATGAGGTCCAAACCCTCAGTACTAAATTACCTCTTAAAGCCCCACCTTTTTTTTTTTCCAACTGCCACTTTGGAGATTAACATTCAGTGTGCATTTTGAAAGGGACAACCATTCAAACCTAGCAGTGGCTGATCAGGTACACTCCCTCTGCTGAGTATGTAACAAAATTCTAAACTCTCGGAAGGAAGATGGGAGTTAAGGAAATAATATATATATTTTTGCATAAACAGTTTAGGCACACTCCACTTCTGTTATGCTCATGGGGCCCTCCCCTGAATACATTGTCTAGACACCATGAAAGGCCCAACTTTGTGATCAAGCATTTGTAAGGATTTGTAGTCTCAGGACTGCTAATGGTAACTCTCTGTTGCACAATAAGTAGTAGAACTTTATCATGCCAAGGACTGCAAACCCACTGTGGAATAGACATTAGGGGTGATCCAGGCTACGTGATTCACTCACTTAGTTCACCACCAAGTGGCAAGTTTCTATTCAACTGTTAATTTACTAAACATGTTTAATTCTAGCTTCAGAGTTAATGCGTGGGAGAAAGTGAGTGTAGACAGAATAAGAGTGGGTTTACCATTTCATTGAATAAAATGGTTGGAAACCACAGCATCATGTGAAGTTTATGAAGTGAGTATAGATTATCAGTACTGTGATTTTCACCCTTCCTCCTCTGTACATGTGGGATGGATCAGGCCTCAGTGGCTTTAGAGGATGTGGCTGTGAACTTCACCCGAGAAGAATGGGCTTTGCTGGGTCCGTGTCAGAAGAATCTCTACAAAGATGTGATGCAAGAAACCATCAGGAACCTGGATTGTGTAGGTAAGGATGACATCGCATTTCCACTTAATTAATTGGAGACATTTGTTTCTTAGTCATTCATGCTGTTCAAATATTTGGAATATGGAAAGGGGATATGGTTGGCCCTGGAAAGAAGAAACCGATTTAGGGGTGCCAGTTCCCATTGCAGTTGTACATCTTCATATAACTTTTTGCCCGGCCAGGTACAGTGGCTCACACCTATAACCAGCACTTTGGGAGGCCAAGGTGGGTGGATCACCTGAGGTCAGGAGTTCGAGACTGCCCTGACTAACATGGTGAAACCCCTTCTCTACTAAAAATACAAAAATTAGCCGGGCATGGTGACATGCACCTGTAGTCTCAGCTACTCAGGAGGCTGTGGCAGGAGAATCGTTTGAACCTGAGATGCAGAAGTTGCAGTAAGCCGAGATCGCGCCACTGCACTCCAGCCTGGGCAACAGAGTGAGACTTTGTCTCAAAAACAAACAAAAAAACAAAAAACTTTTTGTCCACAACATCTTAGCCTACTGTTGACAGGCAGCATTGTCTATCACATAAGCAGTGATTAATACATATATTTTATGTCATATTATTACATGCTGTATTCTCACAGTAAAGTAAGCAAGAAACAAAAAATGTTAGTAAGATAATCATAAGGAGCAGAAACTATATTTACTGTTCATTAAGTGGAAGCGCATCATCAGAAAGATTTTCATCATTGTCTTTACATTGAGTAGGCTGAGTAAGAAGAGTAGTTGGTCTCACTGTCTTGGACAGCAGAGACTGAAGAACATTCATGTACTTATAAATGGACTTGTGTAGTTCAAACTGCTGTTTTTTTTTTTTGTTTTTTTTT